TTTTGTCCCCCAAGGCTCTGTCCTTGGACCTGTATTGTTCAACCTCTTCGTTAATGATGTGGACATTGGAGTCGGAAGCGGACTGGCCAAGTTCACTGATGATACCAAACTCTGGGGTAAAGCATCCGCACCTGAGGACAGGAGGGTGATCCAGGCTGACCTTGACAGGCTCATGAAATGGGTGGATGAGAACCTGATGGTGATTAACACCAAAAAATACAAGATTTTCCACCTCAGGAAAAAAAACCTGCAGCATCCTTATAGTCTCGGCAGTGCTATGCTGGCTAGCACTACGGACAAAAGGGACTTGGAGGTCATGATTGACCACAAGACAAACACGAGCCTTCAGTGTGATGCTGCTGCTAGTAAAGCAAGCAAAACGCTGGCTTGCATCCATAGGTGCTTCTCAAGCAAATCCCAGGACATCATTCTCCCATTGTACTCGGCCTTGGTGAGGCCGCAGCTGGAGTACTGCGTCCAGTTTTGGGCTCCACAATTCAAAAAGGATGTAGAGAGTCCAGAGGAGAGCCACGCACATGCTCACAGGTCAGGAAAACATACCTTATGATGAGAGGCTGAGAGCCATGGGGCTCTTCAGCCTGGAAAAGCACAGGCTCGGCGGGGAGCTGGTGGCCACCTATAAGTTTATCAAGGGTGTTCACCAGGATCTGGGGGAACACCTGTTCACAAAAGCGCCCCAAGAAATGACACGGTTGAACAGTCACAATCTCCTCCTCAGGCTGGACATAAGGAAGAACTTCTTCACTGTCCGAGCCCCCAAGGTTTGGAATAGACTGGAACAGATTGCCGCCGGAGGTGGTTCAAGCACCCACTCTGAACGCCTTCAGGAGATATTTGGATGTTTCTCTTGCTGGGATCCTATGATCCCAGCTGACTTCCTGCCCCTGGGGCGGGGGGCTGGACTCGACGATCTTCCGAGGTCCCTTCCAGCCCGAATGGCTATGAAATCTATGACTCATATGAACATGTACATTCACAGGACTGAGATCCATGTTATTGCTATTTCACCACTGAAGTCCTGGTCAGTGTTTTATTTAGGAATCGTATTTCCCAAGGATACAATTAAGTCATAAATTTCAGGCTGAAATTTACCTTATGATTTTTCTACCAAGGGACAATTATTTTTGTCTCTTCATACATTTCATGCTGTATATATAACGCACACACAACCAACCCAAGGCATTTGTGGATGCTTGAAAATAACTATCCAAAAGCATAAAAATGATGGGTTTCTGAGTCCTTGGATTTGTTTTTCTCTTTTTCCTTTTAAAAAAATATGGAACTGTGTCTCTGCTTATTGAATTATAAACTGATGTCACCATAGCAATGAGAACCATAGACAGAGAATAATAGGAAAGTAGGGCTGGAAAGGAGTTCACAAGGTCAAGGTCACTGCTCAAGGCAAGACAGTCCCTGACTGTCAAGTGTCTGTCTAATCTGCCCTTGAAAATTTCCAGGGGTGGAGATTTTACAACTTGTCTAGATAGATTGCTCCAGCACTTGACCACCCTCATAGTCAGAAAGTTCCTCCTCATCTCTAACCCAAATTTCCTCTGCTGCAGCTTGAGGCCATTGCTCCTAGTCCTGTCCCCTACGGCCACCTCTTCCCTATAATTGCCCTTCAAATATTTCAAGACTGTTATCAAATCCCTGTTCAGTCTTCTCTTCCCCAGACTGTTTCCAAGACTTGGTGAGAAGTAAGTCAAAGACTTTCAATTGTATATGCATGGATGGCGTGTGGAAGGGCTACATGAAGACAGTGTTTGCTATGTTCGGCAGGATTAACATGGAGGAGTCCTAGTCACAATCCAGGATTCCTGTGGGCAAGGTGCTGTACAAGAACAGAACAAGGCAAGAGCTCCTGCCCAAAAGACCTTGCGGCTCAGCAATCCTAATAACATATAATAGTTATGTTATTATGGGAACAGGGACTGCCAACAGGGGAGAAGTTTGCAGGCAGTTCGCAGGCCAGTCATGGGCAGGAGTACATGGGAGCTTCTGACAGAGACTTCAGGTAAGTGAATGAGGAGGGGGGCAGTCAGTGGTCGCAGTAGGCATCATGTCACCTGTGTCAGAGAAGTCAACCCGCGGCTCCGGAGTTGGTGCCATCGCATGGGTTTTGGCTTCGTGGACCATGATCCGCACTTCCCTGCAAGGGACCTCCTGTCTGCAAATGGTAAGAGTCTCTTTTCTTACAGGTTGGCTGACCTCCTACTTTATACTAAGTACGAGGGGGACGGGGAGGCAGGAGATGGAGAGAGTCTAGAATCTACAGACTGTGAGACATGCACCCCAGGTAAGTACCAAGGCACCCTTTGGACATCAGAACGGGGGAGCACCAAAGACACCATTTGGAGGGCTAAAGTGCCTCTATACTAATGCTAGGAGCATAGGGAACAAGCAGGAAGAGCTCTCACTTCTGCTTGCAGGTAATAACTTCAATTTAGTGGGGCTAATGGAAACCTGGTGGGACCCTACCCACGACTGGGTGGTGCACATTGAGGGCTACAGGCTGTACAGAATGGACAGAGTAGGGAGGAAAAGGGGCAGGGTTGCTTTCTATGTAAAGGAGCATTATACATCTACCCTAATCAAAATGGGATCAGAGGAGGAGAAAGTTCAGGCATTGTGGGTTAGGATGCATGGAGGTCATGGGGAAGGGGACTTGGACCACCACACCAAGAGGAAAACCTAGACTTGGAGTTCTTGAGGCAGCTCTCGGAGGCTGTATGGTCAAGGGACGTGGTTGTCATGGGGGACCTAAACTACCCTGACATCTGCTGGGAGGAGCAGTCAGCCAAATCCAACCATTCATGTATGTTCTTAACCTGCGTACAGGACCTTCACCTAATGCAGGAGGTACAGGGTCCCACTAGGGGGAATGCCTTACTGGACTTGGTGTTAGCTATGGGGGAGGACCTGGTAGGGGAGCTGCAGATTCGTGGTCACCTTGGGGACAGTGACTACCAATTAATCGAATTCACCATACAGCGTAGGGTGGCTAAGATAACTAGCAGGGTGGAAGTGCTTGACTTTAGGAAGACTAACATCGGAGTGGTTAGGAGTTTAAGGCAATGATGCACTGGAGGATAGGACTATTGGCGAGATGGGAGTCCAGGAAGGGTGGTCATTTCTAAAGGAAGTGATTCTTCAGGCACAGAGGGAGACAATCCCAGTATGAAGGAAAAGGGGAAAAGGAGTCAAAAAACTTCCTTGGCTAAACAGGGAAATCCAGGAGAGGCTCAGGACAAAAAAGAAGGCATATAGGCGGTGGAAGCGGAGGGAAGCT